GTCATTAGCACCTCTAGTGATATATTTACTGAGAAAAATGGTGACGTGTTCAATACTTATTTTACCCTCTGTATATGTTGAAGGATCAGTGGATCTGCTTCCAAAGTAAAAATGTATATATTTTTTTGTTGTTTTGTTGCTGCAAACAGGCTTAAATGATATATAAAACATTGCTCACCAGTGGGAAGTAAGCTGGTCTGTCTCTGCACCTCCACTGGTTTCTTCAGCAACCGTGGCTAGAAGACAATGGTCCTTCTTTCGATTGAGTTTTTGGCTAACTGTTTCCACCTGGTGGTCAGAATTAGTCCAGTCCCTGTCCTGTTCAGAACCAGCCTGTGTGATATTAGGGGTGTCATGGCCGTTCATCTGCTCCTGCTGACGAGGCGACTGAGCTTCAGGTGAGTCGGAGGCAGCAGTGAGCAGGTTGTGTTTGCTGATGGACTTCTTGAGAAATTTGGCGACATTCAGAGCAGAGTTATTCCTCTTCAGAGAGGGATCCTTCTCATTCGCTTCCATTCCAACTACATCTTCTTCTCCTACAATCAGTCATATTCAGAATTTAAAACGCTTTCAGACATTCAGTGAATGTTGTGTGACAACTTTCAATTAAAATTTATGTTTTCATTTCATTTTATTTTCATTTTATTTTCATTTTTAAATAAACTTAAACTTAAAAGGTTTGTTTTAACAAAAACCTGTTATATTTCTGCAGTTAGAACTATTATATTAATTATTGATATCTTTAACTTGTGTTTTGGAAACCTTTAAAGTGTTAAATATTTGTCCATTATCCTAATTTTACTTTTTTAAATAAATATTATTCATTTTTATAAAGGATATATTTTGTCCTTACAGTCTCATTCTCCATGTGTTTTTTTTTTTTACTTTACTACAAACTACAACTAAACTGTCCGTATGTTAGATCACAATTTGTCCTTACGTCCTTGACCTGGCTCCTTGGTACTGATCCGTTGAACTGGCTGTCCGGAGACTTGACTGTAGAGCTCAAAGAATTCATTAGCAACTGTCGTTAGRACCTCAATCTGACGGAAACGACCTGTAAGAGATGAAAACAAAACAATAGTTGAACACATGTACAGAAACACAGCAGAGAGGAAACAAGGGTAAACCCACGAATGTTTGTATTTGTTTAGACTTGATGACACCTGCCTCTGCAAATAAACAAGATTTTGAACAGTTTTATATTTAAGACACTGGTACATGTTCATATAAGCCAGGGGTCTGCAGCCTTTCTGAGACGCAGAGCTACTTACAAACAGAAATCTGCACGCTCACTAGGGCTGCCACAAATGATTATTTTTTATAATCGATTAATCACAGATTATTTTTTCAATTAGTCGACTAATCAGATCATACGTTAACTGAATATAAAACATAGAGCTTATCGCGCCAGAATGCAGCTGCTATTATATAACCATGGTT